ATGATGTGTTTTTATATATTCTAGATACAAGTCCTTTTTTTTATTGTTATGAAGTCCAGTCTGGCAGTTCTTTCTTTCGTGGTATTCCTTTCTCATATGTTTTAAAAGAAGCATTTACCTACCTCAGGGACATGAAGGGGTTTTGATTCTACGAGCTTTATGGTTCTAGAGCTCTTACTTAACTAAAAATAAATGTTGTATGTGACATGAGGCACGGTCATCCTGGTTGAATACCCAGTGCTTTAGCATCATTTATTAAAAAGCCTTTTATTTCCTTACGAAATTCACTTGACATCTTGATTTTAAAAAAAAAAAGTCAATTGAAGTACATGTATGGGTCAGTGTGTAGACTATTATGTTCACCTAACACTCCATTTGTCGTTATTATTGTCAATTTAAGGCTTGACATGAGGTAGTGTAAATAGTCTGAACAAAAAAATAATATCTTGAAAGATTATTTTCCTATTTTTCTTCATGTGGCCTTATAAATTTTAGAATCATCTTGCCAATTTCTTCTCCCCCAAAAGCCTAGAATTGTGGTAAAGAATGTATTCAATCTATAGATAAATTTGGGGAGAATAGGCATCTTAATTATACTGGATAGTATAATCTATCTGATTGTGCCATATTTCTTCCTTTGTTTAGGCCATTTAAAATGACTCTCATCAAAATTGTATAATTTTTTTGGAGGGGGATCTTTTACATCTTTTGTTAGATGTATTAATTAGCATTAATTCTATTAGAATTTTTTCGGTATAAATTCTACATGCTTTTCTACATAATAATAATGTTGTTGTTGTTGTTAGGGGCTATTGAGTGAGTTCCAAGTGGTAGCCACCCTGTGCACAAGGAAGCACAGCCCCGCCCCGCCCCTTCCTCACGATCGTTACTTGTCTGTACCAATTGTTGCCGCCATTATGGCAATTCTCATCTTCGACCGTCTTCCTCTCTTTTGCTGGCCCTCCACGTTGCCGCATATGATGTGCTTTTCCAGGGACTGGTCTCTCCTGGTCATGTTTTCAAAGCGCATGAGATGAAGTCTTGCCATCCTTGCTTCTAAGGCACATTCTGGTTGTACTTTTTCCAAGACAGATTTGTTTGTTCTTCTAGCAATCCTTTGTTTGTTTTTATAAGTCAAATCTTTTTTTATTATTATTAAATACTTCTCTTGGGGCCTCTTACATCTCTTATCACAACCCATCCATTCATCCATGGTGTCAAACACATTTGCACTTATGCCACCATCATCATTTTCAAAGCATTCTCTTCCCACTTGAGCCCCTGATACCAGGACCCCATTTCTTCCCACCCTCCCTCACGAACCCTTGATAAGTTATAGATTATCATTTCCATATCTTACATTGTCCTCCGTCACCCCTCACCCCCTTTTCCATTGTTCGTCCCCCTGGGAGGGGGTTCTAGGTTGATCCTTGGGATCGATTCCCCCTTTCTTCCCCCACCCTCCCCTAATCCTCCCAGTATCTCTACTCTCCTTGTTGGCCCTGAGGGGTTTATCTATCCTGGATTCCCTGTGTTGTGGGATCTTATCTGTAGCAGTGTGCATGCTCTGGTGTAATCTGATTTGTAAGGTAGAATTGAGGTCATGATAGGGGGGGAAGGAAGCACCAAGAACTAGAGGACAGTTGTGTTTCATCAGTGCTGTACTGCACCTGACTGGCTCCTCTCTTCCCTGTGTCTTTTTTTTTTTTTAAATGATTGTACTGGGAGCTCTTACAGATATTATAATAATCCATAAATCAATTATATCAAGCACATTTTTACATATGTTGCCGTTTTCATTTTCAAAACATTATCTTTCTATTTGAGCCCTTTTTTCCCCTCCCTCTCCCACCCTCGTGATCCCTTGATAATTTATAAATTATTATTATTTTGTTATGTCTTACACTGTCCGACACCTCCTTTCACCCACTTTTCTGTTGTCCATCCCCCAGGGAGGGGGTTAGATATAGATCCTTGTGATCGGTTCCCCCTTTCTACCCCGCCTTCTCTCCACCCTCCTGGTATCGCCACTCTTACCACTGGTCCTGAGAGGTTCATCTGTCCTGGATTCCCCGTGTTTCCAGTTCTTAACCGTACCAGTGTACATCCTTTGGTCTACCTGGATTTGGAAGGTAGAATTGGGATCATGATAGTGTGGGGGAGGAAGCATTAAAGAACTAGAGGAAAGTTGTATGTTTCATCATTGCTATACTGCCCTCTGACTGCCTCGTCCTCCTCCCCACCACCCTTCTGTAAGGGGATGTCCAGTTGCCTACAGGTGGGCTTTGGGTTTCCACTCCACACTCCTCCTCATTCAAAATGATACGATTTTCTGTTCTTTGATGTCTGACACCTCATGCTATGGACACTTTGTGATCACACAGGCTGGTGTGCTTCTTCCATGTGGGCTTTGTTGCTTCTGAGCTAGATGGCTGCTTGTTTACCTTCAAGCCTTTAAGACCCCAGACACTGTATCTTTTGATAGCCGGGCACCATCACCCTTCTTCACCACATTTGCTTATGCACCCATTTGTCTTCAGCGAGCGTGTTGAGAAGGTTGGCATCATGGCAAGCCAGTCCAAGCGTAATCTTACTGGTTCTCCTTCATAGGTTCCCCTTCGTAACTGCTTTCAGGGTTCTTCCTTTGTCTTTAGTTCTGTAAAGTTTGGTTATATGTCTTTTAGACTCTCTCCTATGTGAAGTTCTTAAGTTTTTTGAATGGCTATCTTTTCATCTTTCATGTTGTTAGGGACATTTTCGTCCAATAAATCTTCAATAATATCTGTGCTTTTTCATTTTGTCTCTTTCTGTTCTGGAATTCTGATCACACATACCCATTCCTTTTGCTGTGTCACCATGGTTTTTTTAGACTTTGTGACTCTCCTCCCTCCCCCATCCTTTTTCCAGATTGTGCCTCTAACGGATAGGTATTGAGAATATTGCCTTCATTTTTGCTAATTCTGTCATCCATTGATTGTTTCACTCCTTTGTCTTTCCAATGCACTATCTATTTTAGTCCTTATCTTCTGGATTTCTATCTTCTGTTTTTAATTTTCCATTTATTGTGTCAGTTCATTCTAGTCTTACTGTCCTAAATCCTTTTAGCTTCTTGCCCGCGTTTTCCTTGATCTCCTTTATAATCTGATGAAGGGTCCTAACTATTATTCATTTGAAATTCCTTTTCAGGGGAATTATGAGGCCATTTCTTCCTCAGGAAGGTGTTGCACTTTGGTAATTTGAGCCACCTTATTTTGTTTCATTGTGTGATCTGAGGTTGTGCGTTGTGTCTCAGAAATGGCAGTGTTGTTGTATTTATTTTCTGATCCTATGTTAGTGTGTTTTGCCTAGGGTTTTTGTTGCTGCTGTTGTTGTTGTTGTTGTTTGGTGGGGGTGGAGGTATCTCCCCTTTGTTTTGTTTCAGTATATTCAGATGAGCAGGGCAGGCTTGTTACTCTGTTTAAGAGACTGGCACACTTAGCCACTCACCACCTGTCTCCTGGTGGGTGTGGTCACAAATGGGAATGTGTGTAAAGGTCGCTGCTCTTGTAGAGCCGCTGACGCGGGCTGAGCTGGTGTTGACCATTGTGCTGGTGAGCATAGCCAGTCTCTGGTTCCTACCCTGTCAGAACAAAGAGCCAGACGAGCTGGCAGCTCACCATTGTGTTAGTCTCCTTGTTCAGTGTGGTGGTTGTTTCTTCTTCTCATCAGTATTTGATCAACTTCTCTGTTTTCTCCTTTTAAACTCAGGATTCCAGGATTGACATTCAATTCCGTTGTTAAGGGTGATGCATGATAGATTAAAGAGTTTATATATTGTTCTACCCAGAAATCAGAAAGGTACACTTAGCCCCAAAGCTGCGTTAAATCCTTGCTTAGTGAGTAAATGTTTCTGTCGGAGCTTGTAGTACTTTGAAAGTTAGGCTATGGAAATAAATAATCTACTGTGTACTGTACATTTGCAAAAAGCAGCTCATAAAAAACTGGGATCAATACAAAGCCAGAAATAAAGAGTATATCTTTTATGGGGCTTCCTGGGTTCATTTTTAGATGATTGTCATCTGAACACGAAGCAGGTTGATCTTGTGTGTTAAAGGTCATGCCAACCAGACTGAGAATGGCAATAAAGGTGGCTTCTCAATGAAAGGTATTTTATCATAACCTGAGTTCATGGTTAACAAGCCATAGACAGATGTTGTGTACTGTGGCAGCTGGGACGTCCCAAGGAAGTTAGTCTTTTTTCCTTGCCATTTCTTTAGCTCTTTGCCCTATAAACAAGGCAAAAATCCTAAGGTGAACCAAATGGCACGATCAGTGAAATGGTTTGATGGATAAAACACTTTGATAAAATAGGGCTGAAATCTTGCATGGACTTTCTTCCCCGCAGTTCCTCAAATCTGTGTGTGTGTTTGTGTGTATTATGTTTATCTTGCCTTTTGTGTCTTAATTTGATGGATTAAGTGTGGATTGGGGGTAAATCTTTGACTTGTTAAAGTTCAGTTAGGCCCAGGTTTGGTGTATGGAAAAGGATGGTTTAGTAGAATGGCTGTGTTTTGACGGACTCTGCAGTAGTCATTAAAATGGTCGGGGATTTGGACCTTAATAAAATTTCAAGTAGAGGTTGATTTAAGTTCTAGCCAAATGCTCTGGTTCTAAGATAGGGACTAAACTCAAGGTCCACTTCTATTGGGTGCCCCAAGGGAAACCAGCCTTTCTGCTGTGTGCTTGGAGTTGATACATGAGGTACTTAGGTCCCAGCCAGACTTTTGGGCTCATTGTGGATCTGTACAAAGTAACCCTAAGTGACTCCGAGTTGTCATCTATGGAACTAAGGATAATCCTTGACTGACTTACTTTATTCTGTTTCTTGACGCGAATCCGATGATAGGGTCAAAGTTATGAATGCAGAGCATATGATCTTGCTGCAGTCTGGAATGTCTATCCAATAAGGCTCAGCCCTGGGTTTATAAGACTTGACTCACTGTATGTACTGTTCTTCCCAGGCTACAACCGAAATCGAAATTAAGAAGAAAGGCCCTGGATCTCTCTTAGTTTCCATGGAGCAGCTGGCCTCTTACGGACGGAAGGACAGGATCAACAGTATCATGAGTGTTGTTACCAATACTCTCGTAGAAGGTATGTGTCCTGCTGAGACATAAATATGTATCTTGCATGGCAACAACAATGTCCTTTGTTAGACTCTTTCAAAAATCGTCTCTGAGCTGTCGGGCCAACCCATAGAAACCAGCACCTTAAGTCCTATGCCAGATTCTACATGTACAAAAACAGATGAAGATTAACAAAGCTACTGCACACAAATAGGTAGGATCTGACATAGAAGTAAGCTAGAATAGCCTGAAGAAGTCTCTGGAATCGGAGCCAGTGGAATGTCTTGAAGCTTAGAGGATTGCAGGCTGAAAACTGCAAAGAAACAGAACAGTGGACTAGCCCTCAAGCCCCCTATCCCAACACATCCCCGCTGCTTTTTCTTTTTAACTACTTACAGCCCGTTTGGTCCTCCCATAAGCAAGAATGTAGTGTGCACACTGATTGCACCTAATTCTGCCTCTCCTCGAACACCCCCACCCAGCCATAAATGCATTAGAGGTGTGAGTAGGTAAGTGGGAACCCCTCATGCTCTGGGCTCCCTGTGCACAGGGAAAGAGTTGCTGACCGTCCGCAGTCACGTGACTGGCAGCGCCTGAGTTCTGTGCTCAGTCGTTCCTCCAAGACCCTGCCTTCCATGCTGAGGACGGTCGAAGGAGTTTCCATTGTACCACAGTCCCCCTGGCAAGCAGTAATAGAAGCATCCTCTCTAATGGAGGTCTCTGTTCCAAGTTCTTGCTTTCCTTGTAGATAGATTAAATGACCAAATTTCTTCTCACCAGCTTCTGGTGGCTCCTGGTGAATCTGTCCTGGGTGATGCATGTGAATCGAGCTGAGTTGTGCCATTGTTGATCAGATTATTCCTGAGCCTCGGGTTGCTGTTTAGAGTTCACACTCTACACTAACCCAACCGTAACCGGAGTCTCAGAGACAGAGAGACTCAACATGATCTGGGGGTCCTCGGAACAAGTTATTTTGTGAATCTGTTAAACCTCCACAGTACATCTCTTTGGGGGTGAGGAGGGACAGGCTGCAGGTGAGGGAGAATCTCTAGAAAGGAAATCCCTAGGGTGAAGTGAAAAGAATATTAAATTCCATCCGGTTCCCCACACAACCTTTATGTACTCTTGTTTTCTTTGGTTCCCATTGAGAATTTTATCCTTTTGAACATCTTTAAGCTTGATAGCGTGTACTTTGAGATTAGAAGCTAATAACTGCACATTATAAGAATCCAAGCTAAGGAACACTAGCCGAAGAACCTTGACCAGTTTCATTATTCATTATTTCCTCATTCACTTGGAGGCTAAGGTAGGATTTCTCTGAGTTTCTATGACAATTGGGAAAGGAAGACTAATAATTAAGAGTCCTACACAACAAAACGATCAACAAGGACGGGTAAGGAACCGGGAGCCAGGCTCCTGCGAGTGAAACAGCTAAGAGGAGAGAAATAATACAAATGTTAACACGCTGTGAAACCATATAGCCAATAACTGAGCAATTAGTGTAGTAATTGTTAAATGGGAACAGTCTGATGTGTAAGCTTTTACCAAAAACACAATAAAATATTGTTTTCTAAAAATTAATCCTTTATCAAAAAGGGGAGAATGAAGAACAAAATTTCAGACTTGATTCCAACTTACCTAGAACCGTGGAGGCTGGGTGATCCCCTGAAATTATTGTCTTGAGTGAATATTTTTCTGTTGTATTGTAATATTATTATTTTATTTCAGTGAGATTAAAATTCTATTAGGATTATTGCTGACTGCAGTGCCCTAAGCACCATTTTCCTACCCCCTGGGAACTCACAGCACCTTATCCTTCCAACCCCGAGATCCTTTTTAAAGTCTAAGCCAAACCACCCCATGGAGTCGTAAACGCAGGTGGTAGTTGAGCTCAGCCAGTGGAGGATGTGTGCCCTAAGCACTGTGCTTTTTGAAGATCTATCTATCTATCACATTGACAAGAGCAACTCAACGATTCGGTGGGAATTTTAGAAGCCAGGGAATGTACGTTAATCGGGAAAAAGCAACTCGAAGGAGAAGAATAGTTGCACAACTTGAAGACGATAATCAGTAAACATGTAGAAGCCATTGTTGGTGGGTATTCTCAACAGCAGCAAAATAAAATTAGGATAGATCACTTAAAATGTCATCTCTCCAACCCAGAGATGTCATTATTGGCAGAGATGGCAGAGCAAAAAGACCGTCAATGTGATGCCAAAGTTCTTTCTTAAGCGCCTTCAGTCCTAGCACAAAGTCGGGCTCAGGAACGATTTGTTAAACTGTCCTTTCCCAGGCGCAAGGGCGGTGGGGGGGACAGGATGCAGGCCCTCACTAATTCCCTTTTCTTCCTCTTCTCCACACCTCCTTCTTTCTCTCACTGCCCTGCTGTACTCCCTCCCTGCCGGTCGCCCAAGGCTGAGGTGGCTCAGGGGGAGAGAGGCGGCTGTCACTCGGTTCCTGAGTGGGAAGCCATCCCGTTCTTTGCCCATTTTCTAATTCCCATTATCCACACACCCTGCACACTGCCTGTTCTTTCCCATTCTCCCTCCTCTGTGTGGCTGCTTTTGTTAATGCTGTTGGGACGGACCTGCTGGAAGCAAAGCGTGATGAGTGGCTGAGCTGAAGAATGCGAGAGGGAATGAAAGGACGTAAAGAAAGATCTATTCCTATTTAGTCACTGGCCCCGTGTGTTTAATGTGTGCTGCCGCATTAGACGCATTAGACGCTCACATCGAATAATTGTTTCTCTTTCCCAGATTTCCAGTTAGGAAATGCCAAAGTTTTTTTTATTTTATACAACAGGGAAAGCCATTGTCATTAAGGACCTTGACCGCTCTGCACCACCCCTACCCTGCTGCAGCCTGGCTCGCCTGGGCCGCCACCGTGAACCCTCCAGGGGACTCAGCGTAATTCACAGTAGCAGTCATCGGCTTTGGGGGTATCAGAAATGTGAACAGTCACTGCCTTCTCCGCCACGTGCCAGCTAGCAGCAGACAGCCGGAGAGGGGTGGAGTAAAGAGTGCTATACCTCATTTCTCAGAGCAGTAAAACTATGGGGAAAGGAAAGAGAGTTAGCAACATAAAGAATGAAGAAACAGTCATAGAACGTGGCAATATGGATTCTCGGGTAAAATGCTTTTAGAAACTCCCCGGTAGGCTAGTAAGTTTCTGTTAAGGGTAATGGAAAACTTTGGAAACAGATAACGGTGATGATTGCACAACATGGTAAATGTAATTAATGTCACTGGATTATATACATGGAAAAGGCTGAAATAGCAAATGTTTTGTTGCGTGTGCTTATTACAGCTCCAAACAAAACTCCCCTATAGAGGTAACTAGCAATTTCTGTGCTCCCAGTCTTATTTATTCATTCTTTCATTCAACCAGCAAGCATCACGAGTCTGTTGCGTAGCTTATTTAATATCTGCCTTTCCCTCACAGCTGTCAGGAGAGGGCAGTAGGGGGGCGTGGTGGGAGGCTCCCTTGTTCAGTGCTTCCTCAGTGCCAAGGACATTGTAGGTGCTTAAAGGCTGTCGAGAGAAGCCCGGCCTTCAAGAACCTCCTGGTCTCCCTCTTGGTGGGACTAGGAGGCCTTCTCTGAAAATAATTCCCAGGATCCCTGTGGTGATACCTACAGTAAACTTTCCGAAAATGTCCAGGAACAAAATAAAGGGAGCCCGCAAACCTTTGGACTCCTCCCTTCCATACATTAACCCATTCCTCCCAACCAGATAACCGGCCCTTCCAGGCACATGGGGCCGATAACCGCCTGCCAGACTGTCATTCCTCACTCACCTGATAGGTCTTGCAAAGCCCCCGACGTGCCAAATCTCGTTACTTTTGGGGAAGCAGGTGAGATTCCACAGAGGCGCTTCCCTTTCTGGTAAATGTGGATGAGGTCTCTCCTGCCCTGGCTTTAAACCGGGGCACCCCTCTTTCCTGTCTGGCAAAGGACAGGAAGGACTTGGAGCCTAGTTCATTATCAAGGCTGACAACTGTGTCAGAAATGTGAACAGTCACTGCCTTCTCCGCCACGTGCCAGCTAGCAGCAGACAGCCGGAGAGGGGTGGAGATGAAAAAGGAACGGAACTAGATTTCCAAATATGCACTATGAGAATTTATGGAAATCAGAGAATCTTTTCATTTTCTTTTTTGGGGCAGAAAACTAAATTTACCTTGAGAAGGGAGGGCGTTCTGTGAGGAAGAAGCGAGAGCAAATTTTCTTCACAGACTTCCTTTCCCACGCAGACCTCCCACATGACGCTTGCTGGGGCCCGTAAGTCTGCGAAACCTAGGCAACCATTTTCTTAGCAACCAGGGAGCCAATCAGAAACCATAGCCCAAACTGCCCCATCTCAAAGAAAGCCACCACCATGGGCGCCATCCAGCTGGCTGGAATGCGGGAAAGTAGTCTGATCTAAGGCAGCGTCTTGTTCTTGGTGCAATGTTGGGAAATGTTTCATTCCCCACGTGATTCCGTTTTGTCAACAGATTTGGGCAGGAGGGAGATGCTCTTACACCTATCCCTGTTGAACCAACAATCGCGTTCTAAGTATGACCATGCTGACAGGTTTCCAGGGTACTTGGCGTTTTGTAATCCTAATCATTGCATTTCATATTGGATTTGAGGAGTGATTGGTTGGCTGCAGCCTCACGCTGCATCATTGGGACTGCCAGCGGAAGGGCTCCTTGCCTGCAGTGTCTGCTCGTGCTTTTCAACCTGCTGAGAGATCTCTTGTCCTGTGGTTTTCCGTCTGTGTTTTAAGAGTCCAAAGTTTCAGGGAAATATATCAACGAGGGAAGACGTTAACTGGTCTGTGACCCAGTCCCGTATTCCTGCTTCAACAAGCGCAAGTCGGGACTTGCGTGCTTTACATATTGGGAAGGGAAGGGGTCACATTAGATCTCGCTGAGCCAGGGACAGGACGTGTCGCTAAAAGGAACAGAGACCAAGGAGAGAAGAGGACAGGAGCCAGGGAGAGAGAAAGGAGGCACAGGGAAGGGTGGAGGTAGGAAAAGCAAAGGGATGGAAGACAAGGAACAGAGAGGAGGGAGAAAAGAGGAAAGGATTCCGATTTGGAATCCTCACTATACTGTAAACTCATGAAGGTGGGGACAGTGACTTGTACTCTTGGAGAACGTAATTGATGCATCCCACCCAGGACTTGGTTGACAGTGCTGAATCTCTTGCTACTTTTAATAGAAAATACTTTGAGAGCACTTACAATAATATATTCAATAATATATTCCAAGGCAGTGTGTGTGTGTGTGTGTGTGTGTGTGTGTGTGTGTTTCCCCTCACTTCTCAAAACAAATTAGAGTTAACTTGCCCAAGATCCTGCAGTTATCGAGTATCTGAACTGGTGTTTGAACCTGGCTAAGTCTGAGAGTCCAGATGTCGTCGTGGGTTACAAACGGGGCGGCCAACTTCATGCTCAGCACTTCGAAATCACCAACCAGACCAAGGGAGAAAGATGAGCTTTCTTTAAAGATTTAGTCTCGAAAGCCACAGGAGCTCTGTTCAGTAGTATTACCTTGAGCCGCAATTGACTAGAGGCTGTGAGTTTAGTTTCTCTCTCTCTTCTGTTGTTTCATTTATTTTATCAGGAGTCTGACTTTAGCGTCCATGCTGTTTGACTGCTGCTCTGATAGCCCTGTACCCTTTGGTAGGCCTTATCTCTTGCCAGGCTGTGTGCTAACTGCTGTAGATGCATTATCTCATGTAGTCCTTACCACTGTTCTGTGAAATAAGGGCCCCATAGAGAGGCTACATAGAGAGGTCAGCTGCCTTGCTTGGGATCACATGAAGTGTGGAAGTCCATTGGACCAGGAAGTCGGACTCCAGAGCCCAAGTTCCTATCCACCATGCCGTATGCCTGATGGATAGGGTTTTACTGGTCACTAGATCATTATAAGGAGCCCTGGTGGTGTCGTGGGTAAGCACTAGGCTATGGACTGAACGTTCGACAGTTGGAATCCACCAGCAGTTCCAAGGGTGAAAGACGGGGCTTTCTACTCCCGTAAACGCAGTCTCGGAAACGCCACAGGGGCTCGCTGTGAGTCAGCATCGAATCTATGGTAGTGAGAGGGAGACCGTTTTCAACATGGCAGGGACCTACGACTAATCGTGCTTCTTCCTCTGCCCTGAAGAGAAGCCAGCCTGAGGGACATGGTTGGGCATGTCAGCACGCACCCTTTAGCCCCGTTTGACTAGCAGTGCTAAGGGTTACCAGTGCATCAGAATGACTCGGGGCCCTCTTTGTTCTTTGCTTGGCACAGAGCTGGAAGAGTCGCAGAGGAAGTGCCCACCGTGCTGGTATAAATTTGCCAACACTTTCCTCATCTGGGAGTGTCACCCCTACTGGATAAAGCTGAAGGAGATTGTGAACTTGATCGTCATGGACCCATTCGTGGACCTCGCCATCACCATCTGCATCGTCCTGAACACGCTGTTCATGGCTATGGAGCACCACCCCATGACCCCACAGTTTGAACACGTCCTGGCTGTCGGGAATCTGGTAAGACGGCGCTCTGGCTCCTCAAGTGGGAATGTGGAGCGCTGTGCCCACAGGCCATCTTTCTCCTCTGGTTCTCAGAGCCGAGCTTAGTTGTTAAGAAAGTGCTGGTTCATTGGAAAGCAAAGAGCTCCTGCTCGCTGCTGTGGTCCCGGGCGGGGTCCTCCTTCTGACCAGCTCAAAGGCGTCATGTAGCAGCTGGTGACAGGAGGGAGGCATGGACAGTGGGTCAGTTTCAGCGACCGGTACCAAGGACTTCTGGATTTCCTTTTTCTTGTCCTCTCATTGCTTCTCACAGTGAAACCTGCATTCCTCCAGCAAATCACTTCCCCATTCGCCTTCAGTAACAACCACCACAAAATAGGGGCGCTCTTTTAGGGCATTAATGGAGCTATCCATTTGCCGGCAGTGCCAGGTCATTATCCACATGGAGCCTATTTAGGGGGAATGTTTCATTCTAGGCTGTTCCCGCTTGCAGTCCAACTTCTGGGCTGGCGTCCAGTTTCTGCCATGAGCTGGGCCGTGCCAAATTTATTTTCGTGGTGGCTTAAGTCATCTATTTAATTTTTTTTTTAACTTTGGAAGCTACGTGCACCATCTTAAAAATTAGATTCCACAGTAGATGCTTAAGTCAGATAGCTGTGATCGCAGGATTGGCAGGGTAACTTCCTTGGTACAGAAATCGAGTGGGGCGAATTTTGATACGTAATATAGAAGTCATTGGAAAGGAGCCGCCAGGTCACCTGGGCCTAATGATCCCAGGGGAGTTGCACCCAAGGTTGTGTTCAGCTCTGGCTTACAACCATTCCATCTGAGCATGAGCTTTTCCCAGTTTCTCTCTCTCTCTCACTCACGCAGCACATCCTTTTTACTTCTGGTTCTGAAAACACACCTGGCCAAAGGGGTCCTCTGTCTGCTTGACCCTCGTCGCCTGTGGTGTTTGCTGGTGAGCCTGCTAGCTGCTGGTGTGGCCGTCCCCGTGGCCCTGTCTGAGAGCAGCAGCACCTTCCCGGCCCGGTGCTGCCAAGGAAGCCCTGCATGCGGCCCTGTGCGGCCTTGTCATTTTGAAAGGGGATGAGCCTACAGGTGATCCAGGGGGTCTGCTGACAGGCCTGAAAGCTGCCTGAGCTGACACCGGGGTGTCACCCTTAAAAAAATGTGGAACCAGTGGGCAGTGTCGTGTCAATACAGGCTTTGTGCTGTTGGCCACAGGTGAAGCGATGAGAAAGACAGGACAGTTTGTCGTGACCTTGGTCTTGCTATTGCTGGGTCCCCTGGAGCATTTTGTTCTTCTCGGTTTGCGTGTTACGGAGTCCGTCTGTGATTTCCAAGGGTTCTGACAGGCCTTTTCACCGACCACCAGCACAGCTGTCCCAAGGCCAGTCCAGCGAATGGTGTTCTTTTTCCCTTCCTTAAGAGATCTACAGATATGTGGGGTCACATCAGAATGCAAGTTCAGAGCCCTCAGAAGCCTTTGCTCAGGACCATCAGTGAAGAGAGAGATGAAAGGGGAGGCGGCTAATACAGAGGGGCTCCGAGAGGCAAGCCCCGCAGGACCACGTTCTAAAATAGAGAAGTGCCTTAGAGGCTTTCAAGGGAAAAGTAAAACTGGCATTGAAGGCAAAGAGGGGTGGCTGGTTCCAGGAACTTAGGACTGGCCAGTGGGTTGGATGTGGGAACGGGGGAAAATCAAGAATGTACTTTCAACCCAAACCAAACCCTCCTAGGGGGTCGATTCTGGCTCCTAGCCACCCTGCAGGACAGGTAGACCTCCCCTGTGAGCTTCTGACCGTGACTCCTTATGGGAATAGAAAGTCTCTCTTTTCTCTCAGGGAGCAGCTAGTGGCTTCAAACTACTGACCTTGTGGTAAGCAGTCCAACATGTAACCACTATGCCACCAGGGTTCCAAGCATGCACCTAGGTGTGAGCATTTCATGACCGATGGGACAGTGGGGCTGGCTGAGTAAGGAGCAGGTTCAGTGTTTAAAATCAAGAGTTCTGTGTTGGCCATATTAAATGGAGTGGAAAGGCCAAATTAGACATGTGTTGGACCTCAGGGAAATGTACATCAAGTGTGTGTTTTATGGCCGATAACAGAAATTCAAAGATGTGCTTCGCTGCCAGTCAGCACAAGTGCTGAGTGTGGCCCCAACAGCACAGAGCTACGAGTCAGAAGGTTGGGGGGTGGTTCTTGTTAGAGAAAGCGAGACCCTAAGGGAAGCCGTTGATTTTTGTCCTGAAATGTTTTGCACTAAAACGAGAAAACAACTCCAAAATGGCTAAACACCAAGTTTTGGGAACAGTTAAAAGAACTACTAGCCATCTGCACTGTCTGCGCATCCATACTTCATGAGGAGAATGTTCGCGGTGCAGCTGTGGAGATCTGTCCAGAGCCTTCGACTGGGTCTGAATATGGGGGATGAAAGTGGGGGACGATTATGGGGGACGAAGGTGAGACTGACTAGGTTAGGGGCTCCAGAGTACAGCTCTTGTTTTACGGTTTGTCTGGGAGGCGTGCAAGGAGCCCTGGCGAGGTAGCTGCTAACCTCGGAGTTTGAACCGATGGGGCTTCCTGCTCCTGTAAAGAGTCCGTCTCAGAAAGCCCCAGGGGCAGTGCTGCCCTGTCCTGTCGGCCGCTCTGAGTCAGCACGGACTCCGTGGCAGTGAGTTTGGCTCGTTGGGTGTGAGGCGGGCCGTGGAGCCGGAGTGGTGCAAGCTCCCTGAACAGTTAGCACCTCAAACTGTCCCGGCAGCACCCCAGAAGTGCTTCTGTAAAAGTTACAGCCAAGAAAACTGTGTGGAGCAGGTCTGCCCTGTAACACGGGTCACCCTGCGTGGGGGCTGATTGGAAGGCATCAGACAGCAGCATTGGGCGAGCCAGTGTGTCTGTAAGGTGAAGAGCCCACCTCTGCCCCCGTCAAAAGAAGTCGGCAACAGGAGGAACTGCCAAGGCCCTGTGGTTCCACTGCTTCGTTTTGTAGACGGCGTTGAACCCAGAGAGCGCAGCGACGGACACGGCTTTCATGTCGCCTCACAGAGGAACACGGCAGTGAGTCTACATGAGGGGCTCTTAAAAACAGTCTCAACTACGGTATCCAGAAAACTCTTCCTGGAGAGTGAGCTGCCAACATAGCGCCATGGTCTGCTTATTTAACAGTTTTACTGGCATATCACTCACAAATTGTATAATTTAATAGTTAAATACTCTTAAGAATTGTACAATTAAAAAAAAGAATCATGCAACCATCCCCACAGTCCATTTCAGAGCATCTTCTTCCTTCTTGTGCTCATTGTTAGTAGTTTTCCATTTCCCCAGCCTCCCCTGCCACATTCCCAAGAAACTATTCATCCAGTTATTGTCTCTATAGATTTACCGATACAGAAAAACATTTAAAAAGCAAAAATGACTAAAAACAATAACACGGTAAAATAGGAAAACCTCAATAGAAGAGACAGCAGAAAATATTAAAAATGAGAACACATTTAACATGGGGCGAAAGGGAGATCGAATGATAAGGTGCCAAACTGTAGCCCACCTGCATCTACAGTATCTGCTTTCCAAAGCACTGTGCGCTCACGTCCCTGGTCTGTGGCCGGAGGGCATTCATCGGGCGCAAGCCACACGTATTCCCCCTTCACGTTTTCCTTTTCACTGAACCCACAAGGGAGATCAAATGGTAAGATAATACATTTT